GTTTGGGGGAGTCCCTGTTCCCGCAGGCACTACCAGGAGTGACCAGGAATAACGGTCACAAGCTGGCAGAGGGTAAATTCAGATTAGACATCGGGAGGCGTGACTTCACTGTCAGGGCGGCTAGGATCTGGAACCAACTTCCAAGGGAAGTGGTGCTGGCTCCTACCCTGGGGGTCTTTAAGACAAGGCTAAACAATCACCTTGCTGGGGTCGTTTGACCCCAGTACTCTTTCCTACCATGGCAGGGGGTCGGACTAGATCTGCTCAGGTCCCTTCCGACCCTACTAACTATGAAACTACTATATCTTAGTTAGTTAGTCTATAAAATTGCATATCTACCCTGCCTCCTGTGAATCATGGAGCTACAACTGGCGTGTCTGAGCTGTGCTTAGATGAAGTGGGAAGTTCAGCTTTGCAGGTGTGAAAGTTCTTTTTTGAAATGTCAGTTTGGGATATAGAGTACTTCATTTCGCATGGTGTTTGGAAACTTGTTTTTTATTTTTCTGTTTTGTCAATGCTGGATTACAGATTTGTTGGGAGAGGGAATCTGCTTTGCACTCTTTCTCAAATGTGTGTCTAGATAGAGTTACAAATATTAAAAAAAAACCCCAAACCACTAGATTTAAATTTATTCTGTTGCTCATTTTTCTTTTCAGCTCGAGAAGGAGCTGTCAAAAAAGCTTGAAGATTATGAAGGTACAACTCATGTTCACTACAACCTATGCCTCGTTTACACCAAATGATATTAATTGTTACTGATCTTTATTTTTCTTTAATTTCCACAGGTGAAATATCAATTTACCAAGACGAAATAGAGATTGAATTGGAAAATAGTAGGCCAAAGGCAAAAGGAGTATTTGCAAATTATACTAAAGATGGTAAGCATGTAAAATACCATGAATACTTTAAAAAATATCAGTGGGAAGCAGGGTACTATACATGCTATTATATGTGACCTTTTTCTGTAATAAACATAGCCACATTTCTATGTTAATATAGTATTCATAAAGTACATGTACTGTATGGTGAAAAATTGAGTGTAGTATAAGTTAAGACTGAAATGTATTGAAACTTTTTGGTGAATGGACTCCATAGTTCCAGCCCATGAAGTACCTTGTTTCAAATATCAGTCTTCAACTTTATCAATATTGGAGTTCACCAAAATCACAAGCAACTATTTTTCAAAAATATTTTATTATTTTGACAGTGTAAGGGACTATAAATCTGATACATTCCTGTTACAATTTAGTAAGGGTGGCGTTGTCACTAAAGTTGGTCCATTTTTACACAAAATTTGCCCTAATCCAGTGACAATTGAATGAAGGGCCTTTGTGCCACTTATTCTACGAAGACCTGGTGCAAAAGGTTTTGTAAAGAACTCTTTGTTAGTTGAATTTTATCTTTAATAATCCTGATAAGTAGTTGGCTTCTATTGCTAGACCTACTTGCTTGCAGTATTGTGATAACACAGTGCAATCAATTTTAAATGATTACTTTATTCACAAGAAATATATTTTAATAGCCCAGGTAATGAATTTAAAGTGTGTCTGGAAATTCCATATATTCATACAATGTTCTGAAATATTGTCTGTTTCTTTTACAGATTGTTCTCTGAAGATTTTTGTTCTTTAAGTGAGTTCCTTTCTCCAGTTATCTTGCTTTGGTAACAGATGGTATGAAATGATTTAATTTTTTTTCTTACAGATTCTATAGAAGATAATACTTCTAGCGTATTTGGAGAGGAGGAGGTAGAAGATGAAGAACTGGAAGCAGCTGCTAATCATTTAAACAAGGACTTTTGTAATGAAATTCTTGACAAAGACAGATTAAAGACAAAGGAAGATGGAGAATGCAGAAATGGGAACGCACCTCCTGTAAGACCACCTGCACTGGAATCCTTGCTCGGCCCACTCCCTACTGCAGCTAGCCTTGGAATAACAGAGTCCATAAAAGACTGTATATCCACAAAGGAGCGAGAGCCCAGTAAGTACAAGCTGTTATGTGATGTTTAATGTACAGAAGTTGGCCCTGGGAAGACTGGGATGTGAGAGAGGACTTCTATGAAATTGAAAGGTTGTAGGAACCACAAGACTGGATCAGAGCAGTGGTCTGACTGGTTAACTGGCCAGTACCAGCTGCTTCTCAGAAAGGTGCAGGAAACCCCTGTCTTAAAGTATGAGGCTCTATCCCTCTTAAAAATATGAAAATAAATGTATGCTGCTATGGTAACTGATGGTACGTTTATGTGGCAACTGATAGGGATAGTCAAGTGTTGCCATCATTTTTTCATGTTGTTTTCTCCCATAAGTCCAAGTAATGAATTGAAGCAAGTGACTTCTTTTTTGAATTAATAACTAGACACTAAAATCTTATATATTAGTGTAGGGGAAACATTTTCCAGGGGGAACTGTATTGGAGTACCAAAAGGTGCCGGCTGTGTCCTTTTGCTCTTGGTCAAGAATCAGTCTGTTGTTCTTCATTTATTCTTCTGTGGTCTGCAAAGTTGCAAATATTCCAAATGCTTGGCATACAAAATAACTCAACATATGTTTTTGCTTGATAGGGATTTCTGGACAGTCCTTTTCTCTGATCCCAGAAACCTTTTTATAATGTTGCATTGAAATGAACACCAAGGGCAGCATTGATCAAGTAAAGATTCCACTTTTGCAGGAGTCACCCTGGGCTGCTGCAAATAGCCAATGACTCAAGGTTTTTTTTACGTAAGCCAAAACTACGTGGAATTTTTCTTTTTCCTTCATGCCCCTGAGCTTATCTGGAAAGAATCTCATTCTTATCTCTGGTGTAGTAAGTTTACTTTCCACAAAGCTTATCTGTCTTTGAATCTGTGTAGTCAACAGAGTCAGTTGGTATCTACATCAGAACCTACTGGATCTTAACGTACTCTGCTATAATAAGTATGTGTAACTCTTTAAAGGTAGGGGATGCTCCAATACTCCTTATCTGACTGATGCGCAACACCAGCTTATACCATTTCACTGCTCATGTCACAAAACAGCATCTACCCAGCAGCATTATTTATTTCCTCTTATTAGTCAAAAGCTAAGTCATAAAGCAACAGAACTCTTTATTAAAATTGGTGGGTGAGGGGGAAGGGAGGCAGCCTTTGTCCTCAACATTAGTCGTTCATGTCCAGCAGAGATCATTAGTGATTGAAAATGGTTGCCAACTGATAGATGGTCAAGACCTATGAAAAATGAGTTTGGTATTATCAGTCCAGTTTCCACTGGATGTGTCCATATAATGAAAAAACCCCATGTTCTTTGTTTGCACTGTTGTTTGCAATTTTAATGGAGAGACCAAGGACTGAATGAGCTTAAAGATGGAACTAATCTGTATATCTGCTTGTATAAAACAGATACATCTGAAAAATACCGACTCTTTTGTGATGGGGATTCAAATGGGTATCCATTTCCTTTATCTAGAATACCTAGTATGAAGTAAAGGATTGAGTGTATACATCTGTTACTTTGGTTTTAGCGTTCGGGTCTGCCTAAGGTTTCTTATTTTGGTTCAGTTTGATTGCTTTAATCAATTTTTAAAAAAAGAAAACTAGCTTAGCAGTGGAATACATGCTTCTATACAGTACATGGAAAATGAATTTATCCAAGATAAGGCTTTTAGTAAAATCTGTATATTTTAGTCAAGTGCTTATGATTTAAAAAAGGAAAGAGACTGCTGTGCTCTATGGACATGCTAACTATGCCTTTCTGTACTTTAGAGATGGATTTACTGCACAACTTGGGAGCAGTGGTGGAGTCCTCAGTGCATTATATCGTAGTTATGGAATATTCTTGAGGTCTACACATGGAATAGGCTGTGTTTAATGATGAAATTATCACTGATTTCTGGTGACCTTATACATTACAGGAAAATGTTATTATAATGAGCTGCCTTCTCTTAATAGGACTCAGAACAGCTTGTCTGTGCATTGCAGGCTAAAAAGCTAAGTCAATTCTCTCTTTGCCCAAAGTGGACGGTGCCTGGTTCTCTCCTCACTACTATGTGAATTTTTGTTGGATTATATAGTATCAGTTCTCACTGACCATAGTTTTATTTCAAAATTTTGTGTGCAAACATTCAGGCGCATTGAGGAAGGAATCGAACCACGGTACCTTTGTTGATTGTACCCTTCAGGTGAAATCTGGGCCCTTTTTTATAGTTGTGTGGGCATATTGCAGAAATGAAATGCTCTGTTTTCTTTGTACAGTGAAACTAGAAGGAGAATCTGGTAGATACAGGTATTGGGATCTGGCTCAGGATGATACGCTGTGAAGTACCCTCTGCATGTTACTGTTGCATTGGGTATATGAAAGCTGGTCAGAGAAATGGTGGGGCCTGGCTTTTGTGTTTGTATATGGTGTGAATACACTGGCTGAAGACCTCACATGGTTGCATTGTGAAGGCCGGTGCTTATGTCTTCATGGAAATCTCCCACCTTCGGGCTATGCCTACTCCAGCAGAGGTAGATTTCCCAGAAACCGATTGTTTAGACAGGGCTTAAGTGGAATGCTTAATTATTGAAGAGCATTTAATACATTTTCCCCCGAGCTGCAGTTTGTGGCAGTGCAGTCTGTGTACAAACCTGTTTTATGTAAAACATAGTATCTGAGTGAATTTGCAGCACAGAGAGGGCATGCAAGGTTCTGCATTAATGAGACTGAGGCAGGAGAGTGTTCTGAATCAGCAATGTTAGAGCATGTTTTCTCTAAAAATATTAAAATTAGGAGGGGCATTTGAGCAGAGTGCTTGTTTCAGGTGTTTGCAGGCATGGTAAATGATGAGATCACAAATGTCAGATGGAGAAGATCCTGTAGATCACCCCGTTTGTTTTTCCAAAATGCAAGGGTCTCCCCACCAGGCTGTTGTCTAGAACTGTGTTCGTTCTAAGTTTTAAATCTCCCTTTCTCCCCTTAAAGTAGGGCTGGTACCATCTTTCTTGAGAGATCGTTATAATCAAATACCCTAGACCCTGGTCTCAAGGGAGATTTCCTGGAATTCAGTGAAAAATTTTCATCGCGAATTTTTTCTCATTCCTTATGTCCCCTTGTACCACCCTAAATAATTTATCATCAGCTTTGGTGTTTGTGCTCTTCAGACTTCTGTAGCCTGTTATCTTTGTCCTCCTTTTGGCACTTAACTATGCTATGCGCAGCTAACTCATCTAATCTTGCATGTTCTATATATATATTTTTTTCCTTCCTGGGTATTTATACACTTCTTACTGGCGCCGCCTTGGGCCCGATTACACAAGCATTGGAGTCACTCGACTCCAGTGGGTAATCCTCTGGGCTCAGTGGCACCAGACGCT